TTCAGTTCTCAGATGCAGAATTTATTTAGGTCACAGGTAAAGTTTTACAGCGCTGGAATTCAGAGGGACAGAGAGGAATCTCATGTCCAGCTGAACTGCGTGTTTTCGGTTCCAGGTTCCAGATATCTTCTTGGGCTGGGCCTGCCCCGAACATAGATAAGATTTAATTGGCCAGTTACTAATGGTGTGGACAGGCATACTTCTGTGCTCTGTCCACGTCCTTGATATTTTTGGTAAGCAACGTGTGTGGATGTTGTTGATACGGCGTGTAGCTAAAGCAACAATCGTATCTAATGAAAAAGAGGAGTTTCTGCTGTCTCCAAGTGTGCGAACCGGTTCTCACCGGCCACATTATCTTCAAGGACATATGCTGTTCTCAGTAGGAAAATACGAAACACAATCATAGGCTCAGAGCAAAATACAGATTCAGAATACATAATAGCTCGAAACATACTTAATTCTAACATTTGTATATATATATTAAATCCCCCTCTTATTGGAGACTAAAATGATTCCACACTGAATCCTAACAAACCATAGACAATTAACAGAGTGTGTCTCCCTCTAGTGGATGCTGTGGAGTTTTCTCTTGTCTTTGCTCCAAAGGTTTTTGTTCAGAGTTTTGCTGTTTCCTGTCACTGTGGGCTTCACAGCACAGTAGTACACAGCAGAGTCTGTCACTGCAGCAGAGGAGATCTTCATAGTGATTTGGTTTTTATCACCACCAAGTGATAGATGAGGACCTCTGGAGGCTTTCCTTGATGTTGACGGTACCAGAAGAAATTGTCATAAGTAGCAGCTTGGGAGTATTTGTAGGTCAGAGTGACAGTGCTGCCTTCTAAACTGGACTCTTCATCCTTCACTGCAGTCAGTTCTTGACAGCTGACACCTAAATGAAGAGATACATGTGAAATAATAAACTAATTTTTAGCAATCAGATCCTTTAAAGACATTTCTTCTTCCCGCTTTAACCTACCTTTTAATGTGATCACCAACAAAGGAAACATGACCCAGTAATGCAGTGACAGCATCTTCCACACACTATCTGTTATGTTGGTTTACATACTGAATGTATGTGACAGTGGGAGTCCTTTTCTGTTCTGCTCTTTGACAGAGTTGCTCCTCCCTCAACATGTTCCTCCTCTCATATCACTGGATGTTCTGAACACCAGAACCCCACCTGAATATATTTCACAGCTACACAAACACAAGAACCTCTGTTATTTTGCTGGATTTCTATTGATTTGCATTTAAACCACTTTCCAGAATCATAATTTTCTTCCTGTAGTTAGAAGGAGAGAGAAGTTGTCAAAGTTCTATGACTTTTGAGAAATTGGTGCAGCAACATTATTATTTGCAGCACCTGTAAAAGCTGAACTGTAACTGCAAAGTTACAAGTTGCTTCCATGTTGAGATGTTGATGTTTAACAACATATGATGCTCATTCCTCAATGAATTCACATTTCATTTATTTGCAGAAAGAACAACTTAAAAAAGGTCTTACAATGTCTCTGCTGGAATTAATGTCAAGTTTATATCGTCTTTACTTCCTCATTGTAGTTGGATCTTGGATGGTGACAGAATATGTACTATTGGAAACAACTGATATCATCAGATGAGGCCACTTGAATGATTCATCTGATGTTAAATGGTTGCTGGATTCACCACTGATGAAGATGAAGAGGAGCAGGATGATGAAAATATGGCAACAAGGAAGTAACAAAAAGCACAAAAACACACATTTTATAGTACCATGAGCTGCTGTATTTTGATAAATTATCATCATGGACAAAATTTTCAGTGTTTGAATCATAAAAACAACTCTGAATAATCAGATGTAGATGAACTTGTTCCCTTCAAATCCTCTGCAGCTTCTCTTCTGGAGGCATCACTGATCTGCTGCTCCTGTGAATCCTCCCACAGTGTTTCATCAGCAGCTGTAACCACAGTGACTGTGACAAAACAGGAATTAACACAATCCAGCTGATATGAAGCCAAGCTTCCCTCCTCTTTGAAGAGGAGTCACATATCTCTGTTCAGGTTTTTGTACAGCCTCTGCTACACTTTGTATCACTGTGTCTCCACAGCACAGTAGTAGAGAGCTGTGTCTGCCAGGGTTAGCTCTCTGATGGTCAATGTAGTTGATGTATCTGATGTTTGGGATCCATATTTACGTTTATCAGGAAAATGTTCAGCTGAGCCCCCTTTTCCTTGTTTCCAAAGTATAAACTGAGGAGCCTGAAGGTCAGAAAGATGTTTGTACCAGTAAAGATAAGCATAATCACTGGTTGTCATATAGGTGCATGAGAGTGTGACAGATTGTCCTTCTGTTCCACTGACTTCATCTTCTACAGGAGAGATTGTGGTTTCAGCGATTAGTCCTGGAAAAAGAGAAAAAATGAGGCCATCAGACTCCCATTGTCCATGAGGCTGAGAGGAGAAGACAGTGGAAAATATCACCTGTACAGTGTTACTCTGTGGACATTCACAACTTTCACAACCTTACTTTCATTCTCTTACAGCAACAAAGAACAATAGTCGTTAAATAACATCTGTATATCTGGTTATTGCAGCAGGTCAAAGCAAACTCTGATCCCTATTCTTAAAACTCACCTGAAACCTGAGAAAAAAGCAAAAAGACATAAAGCAACATGTCTTTGGAGTTATTAAAGTCAGACACACAGCAGATGAACAATGTTCTTCCACTGTAGCACATTCATCAGTCACACTGTGGTTTGATTTCCTCAAACATTTTAGGGTTTTGTACAGAGTTTTGCTGTTTCCTGTCACTGTGGGCTGCAGAGCACAGTAGTACACAGCAGAGTCAGACAGCTGAAGCTTCTGGATCTTCAGAGGAACTGACCTTCCTGTATTCCAGTATGAAATATGTCTTCCTGGAACTCTGGAGCTTTCTCTAAAGATGCCGAGTAAGTTTTCATCATGTGCTTTGGGGAATTATTTACTTCTTGTTTGTACCAGAACAAAGTAGGGGCTGTGGAACTAGTTTCAAAAGTACAGTCCAGTATAACTGTATCTCCTTCAGCAGCAATGAAATCTCCTGGTGGCTGAATCACTTTGTCTTCTCCTTTACACTCTGGAGAAGAACACAACATGCAGAGGAAGACATGAATCAATAAAGATTATTGATTAAAGGAGAAGAATCAACAGCTGTAAAGAGTTTTATTCCATGTAGAATAGATGGAATTTTGTGATCTACGAGTTTTTCTCAGTCAAACTCTGTTCATGTTAAATATGTCACCTACCTCTTATTGTGAGCAAAAAAAAAAGTGACAAATAGACTCAAGTTCACTGACAGCATCTTGAAGACAATCTGTCTGTTTTGTGGATCAAATGGCACTGTGAAAGTTTGTGTGTTTTCAGTGCTTGAGTCCCAGTTTAGCGCCTCCCTTCATCCTTTCCTCCTTCCTCTCACAGCTCTGACTAACTGTGTTTGTCTCTGCTGCTGCTCTCATTTACTCACTAACTGAAGATCATTGGAGGAGATTAACATGTACAAATGTGTGTCATCTGCATATGAGTGTTTCCTGACAACATCACCGAACAAAAGCATGTATATGTTAAACAAAGGAGGTTCCAGGATAGAACCTCCTCAGCATCTGGGTGGTATTATTTGCTTGCTGATATCTGAAAGAATCAATAGAAACAAAAACAGTCTTCAAGAGGATCAAAGCCACTCTGACCTGAACCAGCAGTCTGATAACTGGAAATGTTGATTTAGAACTGGATGGCTGAAGATGTTGACTGCAGCTGAGACTGCATCCCTGAGACTGCTCTGGTTAACATCTCTAACGAACTACTGCTCACATCAGGTGGAGGTCTTTACTTTGAATTTTCTTGACTTACCTTGACCTGTGATGCATCTGACCATGACATTTGAATTAAGCATGTAGAAATCTTCTCCTTGGTATCAGTTATGTCACTCTATAGCTGTTTGTTTCTTACTATACAAATAGATCTTTCACAGGAAAAATCTAGCAGGTATCTTCTTCTTCACCTGCTGAGTTCCACAGGGCTCCATTCTGGGTCATTTATTGTTTTTCACTTAATAGAGCTTATGTGTTTGTTCAGACAGGCACAGAGTCAAGAAGTCAGAGGCCCTTTTCTATCCAATTGTTAGTGTGCTCTATAACTGAGGTAGCATTCATTCCTTCTGTCCACTCCATGCTCACCACATCGCTGCTACATCAACCTCCATAGATCTCCCCCTCCTCCCCAACCTCCTCCCTTTAAAAGTTCAATTTCATAACTGTGGTTGTTTCTAATATTGTGGGACTGTAGAACACAGATGGTTCATTATTGTACCTTGAAACTATGTAAAATGGATTTTGTAAAGTGAGAACCATTGCAGTTGGTCTCCTTGTTTTGTGTTCATCCTGTATTCATTTGAACATTGTGAAATTAAGGCTTTGCCGGAGGCTTTGTGATCTCAGGGATTGTCTGCGTCATGCCTGCTCAGATTGTTCCAGAGCATCACTGGAGCAGAGTCACTGCCAAACTCAAGTGCAAGTCATTCCAAAAAAGTGGGTAAATCTGACAGTGTCCTGTCTGAATTGGCTCCCATTGGGACTGATCCTCAATAAATATAA